GATTGGCTTTAGAGCTTTGTGTTAAGTGAACATTTATTTTTAAAAAAACGTACTTTTTTTTAGGAATTTAAAATGACAAAAAAGTCAAGAGTTATTCCCCTTTAACTGAGAAATATTTTCACTGAGCGATGACTGAAGCATACAGGGTTATTATTATTATTATTATTATTCGGAATCACCCCAAGCAAGGGGGGGGGGGTTACTGGATGTGGAAGAATTAGGGACAGAAACATTAATAATGAGCAGGAAGAAGAAAGAGCAATCAGGAAGACAGTAGATAGCAATTGACATTGAATTTAAATTTTTGCAGATTAAAATTGGCTGGAAAGCATGAAGCTGGAAGAGAGTTCAACAAGCGAGAAGTGTGAGACAAGAAAGTGTAGGAATAGAATTCATGGTTACAATGTAACTAGGGCGGACTGAGCCATCGGTCCAATCGGACCTGGTCCGAGGGCCCGACACTGCAAGGGGGCCCGCCTGACTCGGGCCCCCTTGTGTGTGTTTCTCATGGCCGTGCGGACTGCCGGACACAAGTACGGGCAGATCCGTGACCGTGCAAAAATGAAAATTTGGAGAAGAAAAGTATCTTCGTTAGCAATCAAACTAAATTTGTGAAGAAAAGAATAACAAAGAAAGTAAAAGAAAACGAAGAAACCTTACGAATGAACGCAGTAAAAAAAATGTCTCTGTTTTTTGGCACTGGTAAGTTCAAACCTGGTTCCCAGCTAGACTGCAAGGCATAGCTTTATCGGATCCTTTTTGATTTGCCGCACCCGCACCCCATGCCTGGCCGAAAACACGCAATAAATTATTTTAATATTGTAAAAATATTCTGGTGACCATAAATTTGGCGCCTGTAGTCTGTGGTACCGGTCAAGTCTTAGCGAACTCTCTCTCCGATCCCCGTCACTCCCAAACACTACTAAAATTTTCATATGATATTTAGAATTTCCAAAGAAAGGACACCTTATAAATTCCTGTCTGTTGCCATTGCCAAGCATTTCAGTTAAGTTAACTAATTATTTTGTTTACATCTGTAATTATGCTAATTTGTTACAAATATTGAGTAAATTTAAATTCGCATTATGTAATTTCTTAAGTCAAAGTTTTTAAAATGTCAATAAGGGGGTTTAATACGAATTCAAGCAAAATATTTAAAAAATTTTTTTAATCAATATTGTTTTTAAATTGACGAAGGGGTTAACAGTCAATTTATGCCAGTGAGTGCATTAGATTATTTTACCTCATTCTTCTAAATCATTGATATAATTTCAGTTGATAAGATATTTATACGTATATGTACACTCACTGTGACTGTGCAATGTGCAATTGCAGTCGTGTCTCTTATCTTGTTTGCTTTTCAGACATTATTTTATAAGTAGTCGCTGTGTTTTGGAAGTCCGTTTTTTAACTCCTTAGAAAAAAAATTAAAGAGAAAATTATTACTTAACTCATAGAGAACAAACTTCCAAATAAATAATTAGAAATATTATTTGTAAATACGTACTCGAATTAATAAATCAAAAAAGTAAATTTACGAAAAACTCAACTTTCGAATTTAGCCGATAATTGTTATTTATTGATTCGTGAAAAGAAGGCAAGTAAATTAAATTAAAAAAACAAAACAAAACAAATGCGATAAAATGCCATCCTTTTGTTAGTTAATAAGCATTAATGAACAAAAATGTAATGTGTAATTAAAAAAATTACCTTTGTATGATCTTAATTAGTAAAATAATTCAAATATTTGAAATGTGCCTAGTTTTAACTAACAACAATTTCACAATGAAGGAGCGTCCAAAAATCTATCCCCTATCAATATGCAAATATACATCGAATATAAAACTAACCCGCGTTCATATTTTAGATAAATGTAGAGAAGTGACGGTAAGTGATCATGTTAATAAAAGTTCGATTTTTTTTTACTTACCGATAGATGTTATTCTAAGTAAAAGATACTTTTTTTTTTTAATAAAGAAACAGAAATTATTCATATATTTCGCAAATTTCAGGGATTTTTGACATTCCTAATTTTGCAATCTTATTCATGGATTTCAGGGTGAATGAATAGAGTTGAATTCTATGTTTAGTTTACATTAATGGAAACTTTAGTTTTCATTTAGGTTCTGAAATATTGAAATTACGTATTATTTTATTTTCATTTTATAATTTTAAAACCTGATATTCTACATAAATACTTGCTATCGATTGTATTTTCTTTGTTACAGTGTACTTACTTGCTCTTTATAAAATTGTCCCCAAACAGATTTTACCGAGAAGAAACTATTTGTCTGGTGTGCAGGTAGCTAAAAACCCTATTTAATGATGTCTGACTACAAGCATAAAAGTGGTGCCCAAAAGAGTAAAGAGAAAAAAGAGAAAATATCCATGATAAAGAAGACAACAAATAAAATTGATACATTTTTTGCTAAGAAAGCTACATCCTCTGAACAAGACAAAGTTACAACTGACTTTGGCTTACAAGATAAAACATCAACATGTGCAGAAGCACCATCTGAATTTGAAATCACACCTGATGAAAGCGAATTCGATGAGCCACCATCTAAGATTTTAAGGCCTGATTCCATGACAACCAGTACGCAGGTTACACATGCAAAAAGTGCGTATTTTTTAAAACCGGATACCAGCCATAATGCGTCAATTTCACAGGAGATGTTCTGGAAATTTCATCCAAACCAGCCTGTATGTAATATACCATTTAATAGTGCTGTTGTATATGACAGACAAAGCATTCAGGGCATGAATATTAACAGAAAGTGGGTAACATACAATGAAGAAAATAAGAGTTTACATTGCTCATTTTGTCTGATGTATGCTCCCGAAAAAAGTCGAAATATACAGATGATCCAGGGCTGTTCTGATTGGAGAGACATTGCAACGAGACTTTTGGAACATGAAAAGAGCCAGTGTCATAAGCATTCTACTGATGCATATTTTCTGAATGCTTGTGAAAGATCCGCCAAGCACAATTTGTTAAAGGAACAACTCTCCTTAAGAACCCAACAAGTTCTTCAGCATCGCTCTGTTTTAAAGTGTATAATTGATGCAATATTTTACATTGGGTTTCAAGTTTTGTCTTACCGCGGCAAATATGGAGAAGCTGTTGCAACTGCATTTGATAAAAATAATCAGGACAATGCTGGGAATTTTTTAGAGGCTATAAAGCTTCTTGCAGAGTACAATCCACAATTGCAGGAACATTTGCAGAAGGTGGTTTTGCAAGGCAAACAAAAAGATCCATCTAAGAAAGGGCGTGGCAAATTTGTTACTTTTTTTAAGTAAAGCAACTGTCAATAAGATAATAAATATTATTTCAGACATGGTTAAAAATGAAATTGTGAAGGAGGTGAAAAATGCAGGGATGTTTTCAGTGCAAATTGACTCTACCCAAGACATTTCTGCCCATGATCAGTGTGCCATTGTCCTTAGATATGTAGTTGGAGACAGAGCTAAAGAAAGACTTGTTCGCCTGGTAAATGTGAATAATTCAATTGGAAAATGCTTGCACAGCCTGTTACGAAATTCACTTGCAAAGATAGGTCTGACACTGAGGCAGTGTATTGGAGATTCGTTTGATGGAGCAGCAAATATGAGTGGTGTTTACTCTGGTCTTCAGGCACTTATGAAAGCAGCTCGCCCAAGTCACATGCATACTTGGTGTTATGCACATGTTCTGAATCTGGTGATCAGTGATGCAAGCAGTGGATGTGTTGCATCAGTTAGTCTTTTTGGTTTGCTAAATGAACTATGCTCATTTTTCAGTGATTCCAACAAAAGGATGAAGGTGTGGGAAGAGCATATGCAGACCAAAACAGGAAATAAGAAACGCATAAGACTAGAGCGTATTGGTCAAACTAGATGGTCAAGTAGAAGCAGAGCACTTCGAAAATTGTTTGGCAATTACGCAGATCAGTCATCAGAATTCTTTTCGGACCTTCTGATCATCCTTCAGGAAGTAAGCGAAGCAACTGATTTCAAAGGATCAGTTCGCTATGAAGCACAGAAATTGAGTGAAAACTTGCGCAAATTTGAAACCATCTTAATGGCGTTTACATTCATACGAATTTTTGAAATTACAACACTTGTGTCAGATTATCTGCAGACACCAGGCCTGGATATCATGCAGGCTTGGCATGATAACAAAGCCACTGAAAATATTGAAAAATCTCAAGAGATTTTAAGGGCATTTATGAAACTGCGTCTGATTTTGTTGTTCGTGCAAATTTAAAATTAGAAGAAGTGAAGATTTTTGTCCCTAATATTCAATTTCAAAAGATCTAGTCACTCAGCACCAGAAGGTATTTTAAGCGAAGGACCGGATGTTAACCCTCAGAGGTTAAATAGCAAATGACCAATACTGGTCTTTACGCGTCTCCACGCAGAATTTTTGAAATAAAAAAAATAATGCAATTTCAATAAAATTATACCCAACAGTTTGCTTTGAAGCCGATGGGAGAGCGATAAATTTTTGTAGAGAAAGCTTTGAAGTACTGTCAGAGAATGTCGCTACGCTTCCTCTCCCATCAAACTCGACGCCTCCAGCCTTCCTTCACCACCGGAGATACCGAATGACTCCTACCAACCCATTGACCTCACCTTTCATCTCCTGTGACCAGCACGCCTTAAACTTAAGTATTAACAAAGTGACTCTTATATTCCTTTAATAATCCAATTTCTCTTATACGAATGAACATTTTTATAACGGACTTTTGTGCGTGTGAATCAAGAAAAAAATTGTACTATTCATTGATGTTGTATTTTTACAAATTGTTCTGATATACCTTCTCTTTCGTATGTTATTTTGTTTATGTATGGTGATGCAAATTGATTGCTTGTTGAACCTTTAGGCCAAACTAGCGGCTGTCCTGAAGGACTGCTACTACTACCTACCTTCTGATAAAGCAACAAGTAACAACGAATCCACTCCCCTCCAACACCATAGTATCACAGACGAGAAGAAAATTTTTGAGGTTTTATACCATAATGTGGTTATTGATGCTGTGCTCTCCGGCATGCGAGCTAGATTCTCGTCTCATGAGAAGCTCTATAAGCAAATTTCCTGCTTTGATCCAAACAGGTTTTCTGAAATTTTGGCATCCCCACAAAACATTGAGCTAGGTTTGATTGCTAATGCAATACCAGAAATTGACATAGTGGCACTACAGGATGAACTGATTTCATTTGCATCAAGCTACAAAGACTTGAAAAAAGGGCCGCTAGAAAATATAAATGACAATAAAAATGATTCAGACAGCTTGGATTCAGAGGAGGAGGATACAAATGTTACTCAATCATCTGCCATGACAACATGTAAGAATTGTTTGTCATGTGCTTTCAAGCTATTATCTGAGTAAAGGCTGTGTGCAGCTGCATATGAAAATTTATATGCTGCATATAAATTTATTGTAACTCTAAGCATCACACAGTGCACATGTGAAAGATGTTTTTCTAAACTAAGACTGTTGAAAACAAGGCTGAGATCTTCGCTCACACAAAATAACTTGGAGTCACTTATGATAATTGCTATTGAAAAAGACATAGCAATGAAAATCAAATCAAAGACAAAATTATTGATAAAATTGCAGAATCCTCTGCTGAAATGAGTACAATGTTGTTACTGTGTAATCCTTGAAAGTTGATATTTGAAATTTTTGGCTCAGTATTATTGTAAAGCATAGTATATCTTATATTAAGACGTAAAAGTGTATGTTAACACATTTTATTATTTGTTTTTAATATCTATTATAAATTTTATAATTTAGTACATTGTTTACGCGTTGATTCGCAGTAATAAAATGGAAATTTTGTTTGACATGTCATTACGCGGCTTTGTTGTTACTATCCATGAACATCTTTATGAGCTTCAAGTTTTCAAATCTTTTGATGCATATAAAGTAAACGCATACATATCTTAAATAGTGATGGGACGTTTAATCGGAATCATTAATCGTAAGAATCGTGTATTTTGGTGGGAATTGGAATCGCATCGTTAAATAAATACTTTAGATTTCCGATTCTTTCATTACGTTTCTAAATTTAGTCTGATGTTGAAAAAAGAAAACTTTTTTCCATATTTCTAACCGGTAAGAGAGAAATGTACCATTTCATAAAAATAACAAGTTATAAAATGAAACCAAAGAAATACGTGATTAAAATGTATTTGATTTGCTCTTTTTTTCTTTCTTTCATTTTTTTTAAGTCAAACTTATTATCTATAAATCCAACTTACACTTAACTTAATCAGTGAAACAGACACAATATATTTGGAGTGAGAGGGGGACTAACTGACTTTGATCTCCTTCCTACAAACAGTTTCTTAACTATTTTTTTAAAATAAATCTAGATAATGAATGTTTTTCAGGATTTTTTTTTTTATGAATGCAGACATTGAATTTTAAAATTCTTCTTTAGGTGTTAAAAGGAAAATAATTAGAAATATTTACGAAGAATAAAATTAAAAGAAATAACAAGGTCCTGCTTTAAAATATTTACAAAAATACAAAAGACAGTTTTTTTAAAGCATTATAAAAAAAAAAAAAAGAAAAAAAAAAAAAGAAAAGAAAAAAGATTAATTTAACATTTGAAAACGATTGCATAAAAAAAAAAACAAAACTGGCTTCCGTTTCAAAACAATTCCGCGATTCCCGTGATCGCTGAAAATTGGGGTTCCCTACACACAGGTAGAACCTAAGTAGGCAAGGAATCGGAATCGTCTTGGTATCGGAATCGTAAATCAACATTTTCCTGGAATCGGTATCGGTATTGGAATCGGAAAAAAATTAGGAATCGTCCCAACACTAATCTTAAACTAAAGTTTTTTTCTTATTTAAGCCAATATGCACAGATCACCTGCTGCACAGCCTCTATATATGGCATAACTGTAAAAAATTGGGAAAGGGGGCCCATTGAATTTTCGGTCCGAGGGCTCGTAATACTCTCAGTCCGCCCCTGCCTTGTAGGGAGAAGAAGATGATTCACACCTTTCCCAATCAATGCCTTTATCTACTACGCCACGTGTCCTTGAGGCGTTGGTTAGATCCAGTGACATGACCCAAAGAGTGTGAGTTCAATACCTGGTTAAGGCAGTGGAGAACTTTCAGAGGGAAATTAACAAGAGATAACTGATAACTGACATCCATTAAACATGGCACGTGGAACTAGAACAGTCTACCACAGCGAGCGAAATAAAGGGTTCAGTTCGACATTCCAACCACCTGAAGAAGGTCGGAGCGTACAACGGCCGAAACGTTGTAATAAATATGGCGACAAAGATGAGGACAATAGTCCGAATAATGTAAATAGTGAAAATCAGATTAATTTATCTTTAGATTTTCTAATTTTACTCAAGTAACGTGTCAGAAATATATATGTACTTTTTGAAAAAGTTTTAAAATCGATAATTTTTTTTTTGCTTACAAATTTCTTAGAGTTAAGAAAATGGCCGCTTTTAAGAAAACGGAAGGGAATTCCACGAGCGGGAAGTGCGAGAAAAGAAACTGTTGGAGTAGAAGTGGCAGTTATATTTAACTATTTCAACAGTAAATGGGTGGGACCTAAATGCCAATCTAGTAGTACACTTAAGTTCATGTAGTCGGAGCAGCAGTGAAAAAAAGCTTGTCAGAGCAGTTGTCATGAAAATATTTGTAGAAAAGACAAAGGAAAGCCACATCACGTCTGTGAGATTGTGTCTGAAGTCGAGATGCCAGGTCAGGATTGATTACATTGCAGATCCTTCTTTGGATTTTGTCAAGAATCTTGAGATGTACATACAGCAGGAGCACCAGACCGGATATGGTAACATTAATTCAATGGACGGACGAATGATAGATTTTTAAATGTGCAAGATGCACTCTGATGAGAAAAAATCTTCTGTCACGACAGAGTGAACCAACTTTCCTTGCAGTAGATGCAGCTATTGATTCAATATAGTTGTTCCACTTCAAGTCAATTGGAAACGTGAGGTCAACAAGGTGCAATGAGATGCTCTTCAGGAGTTGAACATCAGCCATATTGTTACTAGCTGTAGGTCTACTGGAAATAAGAGACCCCTGATCTTTGTTAAGACATCAACTGAGGAGAAGGAAAATTTTCATAAAATATCTGTAGCTTCGTTTGTATCCAAATCTTGTCAAAGTTCAGTGTGTGAGAATTGCGACCATCACAGACACACACTTAAGTGCATTTAATCTCATGAAAATATTTGCATACAACCAATCAATGAATAGCAGAGGCACCAGACCATATATGGCAACAGTATTCAATGCATGGATGAACGGTAGATATAAAATTGAACTTTGACAAGAAAAATCTTTTGGCACGTCACAGTGACCCAACATTCCCTGCAGTAGATGCAGCTGTTGATTCAAATGTAATCGTTCCACTTCAAGTCAGATCAAAACGTGAGGCCAAGAAGTCGTGTTTTTATGCTAACAGTTTCTTCTACATGACTTTTTGCTTATGGAACTCTTCTCTGTCTTCTTGATTTCCTGTTGATTTTGATCTTCAAAAATTGAAATGCAATGTTCAAAATTTCATGGTCGTGAAGACCACATTTCTTCAAACATTGTGGCCTGGCGCTACAGAATCACAAAGAACTGTACCAAATAACAGAAACCACATCACTTGAGAACTTGCAACAACACCAACAGCAACTAAAATGCATATCACTTGTAACTCTAAGAAAAATAATGTCGTAATCATGATGTTGGCGTAACACACAAATTCAAACAAAAAAAAAAAATGGTTAGGAAAGTCACCCCCCCCCGTCAATACTGAAAAGAGAGATAACAGCTACTAGACTTGGGAAATATTTCCCTGAAAATTTGTTTTAAGAGAAAAAATTTAATTGACAACAATAATGGTTGCTCGGTCAATTAATGCCGAATGTTTCCTTATAAGGAAAAAGTTAATATTGCTGTTACCATTTATGGAAACCTTCAGTCATCAGGGGTAAGATGGAGTGAGGTTTTAGGACAGAATTGTAAGAAATAAAAGTAACCTTTTCAATATTGATAATACTTTTAAGATAAAGGAAAATAATTATTGGAAGTTCTTTGCCAAAATATTTTGAGACATTTATCTCATAACAAAGGAACTTTAAACTAAAGTGTAGCTAGCCTACATCATCGACATCAAAAATCTCAATCACTGATAAACAAGCTGATGCTATTCGTCGTAGGGTTTTAGGGGAATGATGTCTTCATTTCTCTGCAAGTGATTCCCATACAAATATGAGAGACAACATGAAGTTGACCCTCGGTCAAGTCGTCCAAAAATTCACCAAGTTGATGCTATTGTATGGTTTTGGGGAAGATGATTTCTCTGCAGGGCATACAAAGATGAGATGAAGATGACCTCAGTCAGGTCGTCCAAAAACCTCAATCACTGATAAACAAGTTGATGATATTCATTGTATGGTTTTGGGGAATGATGTCTTCATTTCTCTGCAAGTGATTCCCATACAAAGATGAGAGGCAACAAAGAAGATGACCCTCGGTCAGGTCGTATAAAAACCTCAATCATTGATAAACAAGTTGATGATATTCATTGTATGGTTTTGGGGGAATGATGTCTTCATTTCTCTGCAGGTGATTCCCATACAAAGATGAGAGGCAACAAAGAAGATGACCCTCAGTCAGGTCGTCCAAAAACCTCAATCACTGATAAACAAGTTGATGCTATTCATTGTATGGTTTTGGGGGAATGATGTCTTCATTTCTCTGCAGGTGATTCCCATACAAAGAAGAGAGGCAACGAAGAAGATGACACTCGGTCAGGTCGTCCAAAAACCTCAGTCACTGATAAAAAAAAGTTGATGATATTCATTGTATGGTTTTGGGGGAATGATGTCTTCATTTCTCTGCAAGTGATTCCCATAAAAAGATGAGAGGCAACATGAAGATGACCCTCGTTCAGGTCGTCCAAAAATCTCAATCACTGATAAACAAGTTGATGATATTCATTGTATGGTTTTGGGGGTATGATGTCTTCATTTCTCTGCAGGTGATTCCCATGCAAAAATGAGAGACTACATGAT